CCCCAAAACCCCAAAACCCCAAAACCCCAAAACCCCAAAATAAACTACTAAAGTTGAAACTTAAGATTTAGCTCCATAAAGAAGGCCAGGACTCTGTATGCCTCCTTTAGTCGAGGCTGTAAAGTCTACTTTAGGGATTGGCCCAGCTGGGACACCCATGTTCCTTTCTCTACTATCATTTCTAATTGTGTGTAGTTGTTTTCTATCCTCTAGGCTTTTGTTTCGATCGAGAAGCTTCTTTTCCTAGAAAACATCGAATTATCAAGGCTTACTAGCAGGTTTGAAGCATTACTATTATTCCTACCCAATTTGGACCGTAAACGTTCTGAATTTTTCATTCTGGTCAAGATCGCTCTCACAGATTCTTTGTTCTTTTTTGACAGAATCTTGGGTAAGGACTCCTCTGTACGGACTTCCTTCATAACAGCGATATTGTTCATCCGGCTTCGTTCATGACGCCTAGTGATATTCCTGTAGCCAAGGTCAATAGTAGGTTCTAGATGCCGAAACTTGATCTCTTTATCAAGTTGATCCTCTAGAGAGTGTCTCACAGGAGATACCTCACTGCAATAATTAGACAAGCTTCTGTCAGGACTGGTATTCTGACAGGATATCTTAATGTAATTCTGAGGCTTAGGATACCTCCGAGACTCTTTATTTCTCTTCCTGGTCAGGTACTGCTGGATGTTCCTCTGCATTTTGTTGCTAATCTTGTCTTCCACTTTAGATTTTACCGTAAATGAATTGTTAATTTCGCCTAAATTTTACAAATGTTCCTACGAAGATCCTCCGAATGATCTTGAACAAGAGAGTTCGCAGTCTGAAAGATTTTATGAGGCGAGGAATTATCGTAATTAAGGCTTTTTAAGGCATGATCTATAGAGTTAGATTCCAAGGGATTACTATCCCCAATCACTGGGATGTAACAACTTTGTTTATGGGAGAGGGTGCCTTCATACTCTACCGAGCGTGTGAGATCCTTCTTCCTGTGAACATCACTGTAGTCAAGATAGTTGTAATCCTTGATTCTTTTTCTAGGCTTGATGCCACTTGGCTGGTTACCCTTGATATTGGTATATTTAAACATGATAGCTCGAGGTTTTCCCTTGAAGAGCCTCTGGCTATAAATAATAACAAAAGTTTACCTCTTTGCACCAGGAATATCAGTGTTATCGATCTGATTTCTGATGAACCTTTTTGGAAGCTCTTCCTTCGAATAAACATCATTTAACGACTCAAAATACTTTTTACGGGAAATCTTGGCTTTAAACTCAATTTTCTGAGGAGTCTTTTCCTTCAGGAGTTCAGGAACCTGTCGGTTCCTGATCTCTCGTCGATCAGGAGAGCTCAGATTAAGCCGACGGAGCTCGTCAGTTCTAAGTGACTTTGGTGGCTTCGAGAATTTCCCAACTGATTCCTTACTGAATGAGGTATTTTTAGCGACTTGCATCTTACTAAAATAATTTTTAACCAACACTAAGCTCACCATATGGGGTTTTGGGGTTTTGGGGTTTTGGGGTTTTGGGG